CGGCCCCCTTGGCCCAGCGGCCCCGCCAGGCGCTCCTGGGGAGCGAGAGGGGCCGGCCGAGGGCCGCAGCGGGAGCTGCTGGGACTTGTAGTTCGCCCGCGCCTGCCGCGGCCGTCGCCATCGCTGCCCCCGCCCCCCGGGCCAGCCTTTGTCCCGGCCCGACTCCCCGGCCGCGCGGCTGCCCCTTTGTCTGCGCCTTGCGGGTGAACATCCTGTCCCGGTCCCCGGGTCTTTCCCAGTCTCCGGGGTCTGTCCCTGAGTCTTTTCCGATGTCTGCCCTTCTCGATCCCTGTCCCTGTTTGTGTCTCTTGGCTCTATCCCTATCTTCTTTGCGTCTCTATTTTCTTTCGTACCCTGTTGCAGCCTTTGCCGCCGCTCTGTGACTTGAGCTACTTCTCACCTCTCTGTCCCTTCTCTGCCACACTCTATTTCTGTCCCTTTCTCTTCCTATCGTTTTCTCTCCGGGTCTTTCTCTCACTGGCTTGTTCCTTGTTCCTCTGACTCTTATCTTTGTTCCCAAACCCCAAAACCAGACACTCCACGGCTCTTGCAGACTCTCACCTGAGCCGGGTCAAGACTCTGAGAAACACTGAAATGAAAAGACATGATCATCTTTCCTTAATCCAACATTTCCCCCAGTTTGTTTTTCAGCACAGAATCCTCCACAACTTTCGGGTAACTTCCCTAACACCCCCCTAAGGAACAGAGTTTGGGGTAGTCTCCCTTCCGGTGTGGGTTGTCCTACCCAGCTGACGGATCCCTGCTGTCTCTGGTGGACTCCGTTGCACTGCTGTTTCTGGGGAAACTTCTACAAGACATGGGCCAGGACTGGGAAGGGCTCAGGGTAACTTTACCTGGAAACAGAGCTCAGAGCCCCAAGGGGGAGTGAAAAACAGGCCGGCAGCTGATAGCTGGGCCGAAATGTTCTCCATTGAACAGAAACAAAAATCACAGAATATAAACAATGATCAGACAAGGCCACTCCATGACCATGTCTGAGCCAAGATAGAAACAAGGACACCCTATGCAACCACAAAAATGAATACAGATACCCCCCTGTCTCGGTTAATACCAGTGACTGCCGCTGCTTACCCGTGACTCTTCCAGTCCCCCTTTTATCCTCTGCCTCCGTGAAGGAAAAAAAAACAAAAACACCAAATTATCCAGTTGCCATCTGCCCCTACTTTCCAGTTGTCCCAACCTAGAACTGCTTCTACTCTCTCCAACTCTTCTAAAAACCACCCCGCACAAATTTAAATCCTCTCAGAAACCACCCCCACCTTCCCACAACTCCCTCCTACTGAGTTACCCTATGGTGCGCCAGAGTGAGGTCCACCTGGCTGGAGCCAGCGAAATACATCTCACTTATCTGCCCATAGGAAGATAAGTCAGAAAGTATTGCTTTTAGGGTATTAGTTCACTTGCATACACATGGGTTTCTTCCAAACAAAACATGTTTCAACAAGTTTCTGCCAGTGGATGACTGCGGACAAGTTCTCTCAGTAATAAACTTGTCTTATTAGGGTGTCTCCCCAAAAAAGGTCCAATCAAAACAGTGCCTTCTGAGGGGATTTGCTGGGCCATTTAAATTCAAGGCAGAGAGGTCAGCTCAGAAGGATATGGCGACTGTTTTTTTGGGACTCCAAAAGGAGCCATCTTTATAGATTTTCTCAAAAGGACTCTGGATTTTCACAGGGGTTTTTATTAAAGTCCTAGTGTGGTGCCATAGGATAAGCACTGGACTGCAAGGTAGGTTTGAACTGTAAGGTCGTCAGTTCAAACTCACCAGCCACTCCTCAGAAACCCTACACAGGGTCAACTATGAGTTGGAACCAACATGACAGCACTTAACAACAACATTAGAAAGACGTTTTAAGAAAATTGAAATTTTATTGGTGAGGAAAAAAGCCAGGAAAAGTTTTCTTATGAAATTTCCCCCTTCTCCCTCCCCCCCCCCCACTATGATGATTTACCTCCTCATGCTTCCAGAGGAGCAAGGGTTTCCCTAAGAGAATTTCATTAGGAAACCTAACCCCATCCACCCTACAGTCGTGACCTTGTGCCTTCAGACTTCAATTTGTTCTCAGAACTCAAGGACATTTCAAAGGAAGGTGATTTAGCTTTCTCAGTGATGCCAAAACTGCTGCTGTGTTGATGTGGAGTAAATCAAAGAACACAGAATTCTTTGGGGGAAGGGTTGTTGTTGTTGTTAAGTGCCTTCGAGTCGGTTCCGACCCATAGCAACCCTGAACAGGCTGTAA